ATATTCAATGAAATCACTGCCCTAGATCAAGGGAAATCAGTAGGACATGATGGTGTCCCCCCTAAAATTGTCAAGCATGCTAGCCATATCATTTCTCACCCCCTTGCCCACATTATCAATTGTTCAATTCGCCAAGGTATATTTCCTAATGCTTTTAAAATGGCGAAGGTCATTCCCATTTTTAAAAAAGGTTCCGCAAATGATGTCAACAACTACCGCCCAATATCCATTCTACCTTTTTTGAGCAAAGTATAAGAATCAATCATTAATAAGCAATTAATTACATATCTTGAGAAAAAATCCATACTCACTGATACTCAATTTGGCTTCCGTAAAAAACACAGTACAAAACTTGCCTTGGTTGACTTGGTTTCCGACATAGCTGACAAACTGGACCTCGGCCATATCACCTTTGGTATTTTTATCGTTCTCAAAAAAGCCGTTGACACCATTAATCATGAAATTCTGTGCTGTAAACTAGAACACTATGGTATTAGAGGTCTTCCTCTATTATGGTTTAAAAACTACTTTTGTAATCGCCAACAATTTGTATGTATTGAAAACATTTCATCTTTGCCACAACCTATTACCTGCGGGGTTCTGCAAGGGTCGATTCTAGGCCCAATCTTATTTTTAAGTATATATTAATGATATAGCCAACTCTACCAATTCCTTTCATTTTCGACTCTTTGCTGTCAATACTAACCTATTTAAATTCATTCAAAACAATAAAATCAATCTCTCAGAAATTGATAATGACTGTCAAAGGGTTCGTGAATGGTGCAGTGCTAACAAACTTACTATTAATTCCTTAATTCTACCACACATTACATATTACCTCGAAATCTGGGGTAATACATATGCTACTCTACTGCAACCAATATATCTCTTACAGAAAAAAAAACTGTATGCTTCATCACTTTCTCTGATTCATATTCCCATGCTGCTCCTCTTTTCAAAAAACTAAGAATACTAGACATTTTTTCACTCTGCAAGTTACAAACCTGTTTATTTGTCTTTGATCTCAGAATAAATATTTTGTATATGATATTTACTACTATTTGGATCCTTTGTCCCATAATTATCAAACCCGTTAGCATGTAGCTTGAATTATATACCCCAAAACTGAATCTTACACTCAACCAACACAGTCTTAAATACTCTGCAACAAAACATTGGAACTCTTTGCCTGATGCATTTAAAACCATCACTAAGAGACATATATTTAAAGCAAAGTTAAAAAACTATCTCTTTAAAATTTGATTTGTAATATTTTTTCTCTTTCTTTCTTTATTTGGAGATTTGTGTGATTAAACTATGAAATTATATATACAGGGGTTACGGACTCGACTAGTTATGATGAACTATATCTGTAATCCCCACCAAAAAAAAGAAAAGTTATCTAAGTAGAATTTATTTATTATTTATTTATTTATTTATTTACTACCTGTGCAATTTCTACCTTTACCATTGTTTTTTTTTTTTGGTGAAATAAATTTCATTCATTCATTCATTCATTCATTCATTCATTCATTCATTCATTCATTCATTCATTCATATTTTTTCTTTGGGGTACATGAATATACTTGCTGAGTGAAATGAAATTTGAACAACAGTATTGTTACTTTTAGACAATGGCTTATTTTGACTAAAACTAATTTGCATATCTGAATATTACTCTGTATTGCTTTGATTGATTGCCCGATTGATTGATGTGTTATTGACTCGCCAATGATAACCTTGCCGTCTTTTCCCTTTTCTTTGTGTGTACAGTCTGTATACTGTCGATGGTGATATTCGACTGAACGGCAAACTTGAGCAGTATGTATATTTGATTAATTTGAAGAAAGATGGACTTGACTCAGTTGAAGGCGATACCGACGGCAAGTGTAAAGGGGCAGCTATCTGCCAATACAAGAAAGACTCAAATTCAATGTATCGTAATATTGGCATGGCATCGCCAAAATCCCTCACAATGGAAGGTATGTAGAACGTTATTTGATTTAGCATGATTGGAAGTACTTCAAGAACTGGTCAACTACCTAAATGGGTGCACTGTGATAATGTGCAGACCTGATTAGTTGTTGATGTAAATTTATGCATAATAATTGCCTAATTTGTATAATCATTAGCCAAGTACATTTCCAGGCGTATTTAAAAAAATACACTCAATAGATTTCAATAAAACCATGTAAATGTGTTCTCTGTGATAGTGTGCAGACCTGATTAGTTGTTGGTGTAAAGTTATGCATAATAATTGTCTAATTTGCATAATAATTAGCCCAGTACATTTCCAGGCGTATTTCAAAAAACATGCCATAGATTTCAATAAAACCATGTAAATGTGTTCTCTGTGAAAATGTTCAGACCTGATTATTTGTTGGTGTAAATTTATGCATAATAATTGTCTAATTTGCATAATCATTAGCCAAACAATTTCCAGGCATATATCAAAAACGTTCAGTAGATTTCAACAAAACCATGTAAATGTGTTCTCTGTGATAAAGTGCAGACCTGATTAGTTGTTGATGTAATTTGTACAGGTTTCTGCCATAAATTTATTAAATTAAACAGCAGTTTTGGTTTTAAAAAAAATTAAATGTGACCAAGAAATCGCCCAGGGCGTTTTTCCACTTGAACAGTTTTTTAAGGTGTTTTTTCTAATATTTTGGTCTAATTTTTCGGATATTTCAATAATTCCTGACGCCTAAAATAAAGTCTAATTTAAGTTTTACCGTAGTCATTGACACCTATTCAAGAGTATGATGTTTATTGTGAATAGCGTGAATGGGTAAGATTCGTTTCGACAATGAGCAGTTATCACTGTTATGTGATAAATTATATGTTAATATAAGTTAAATTGTTCTTCAAATGCTCAGTTTATTTTTTGAAAGCAATTAATTTTTTGATTTAAAAAAAAATCATGCCATTTTCCCATCGAAATCCAAGCCAAAAGATCGTACTATTGGCAAGTCTCTTCCCTGTTGTGTTCAATAACATTAACATATTTAAATGAGCTATGGTAATTTGAACATGTTTCTATCATCCATCATTTTGATTGGTTAATTAGCGATATCAGGTCAAAGAACACGGTCCCAGGTCAAAACATGGCGGATATTCTCCAGCATCAAGC